TTTTTTTATTTTGAACTTTTGATTTATTGTTTATCAATCTTGAAGATTCACTTTCTGGTCTCTTTATATTCATCTTATTAGCTGTCGACTGTTTTTTACATTTTTATATGCTAGGATAACTAGCATATAACTTGCTATTTTCTTTTATGTTGTTAGCTGTTGTTGCTAACTGTTGGGCTAATTTGAAGCTATCCTGATCATTTAAATATGATTAATTATACTTTTACTAGCTTAATTTTAGCTAACAATGGCTAGTCGAAGCTACATTTTTAGGGTTTGATTTGAACTACTTTTGATAAAATGATTCCAATCTTTCACTTTGAGCATTTGTCTTAACATCTTAGCCATTTTACTGTATTGCCCGGCCATTGTTTATTGAATGTCAATAGCTCTGAAAGATGTAACAAAAATGTCATCTGAGAAAGAAAAATTAATTTGTAGGTTGAGGTGGACATTTGACTCATTTGCAACTGAAAAATGAAAAAAAAAAAAGAAAAGAAAAAAATGCCGATTATCAAATCATTTCATCAGCAGTCTGTCTTCCAAAAAATGCTACACCAATTTTTCCTCTTCCTCTTGAAAAAGGAGGAAGCGTCCCCCCCCTTCACCTCCACCACCTCCAACCACTCTCCATGTCAAACCCCCTGCTAACGTGCTGAGCCAGTGGAAAAAAAAAATCCCACATCTGCTCGAGGAACAAAGTGCTGCAGAAGGACAGCTTTGACCAAAAGGAAACAATATTCATACAGTGTGTCCTCACTGATATGGACATATCTCTTGAAAGACAGAGACTAATGAGACATCTTCACGAGCATTTTCCATTTGGCTGAGGAGTCACGTGACCTGAGCTGAGCACACCAAACGTTGCCATCACACTGAAATGTTTACTTAAAAAAAAGGAAGGTTCAGGAAATTACTACTAATCTTGTTCTCTGCATGGTGATATATTTTTTCCATCACCTTCTCATCCTTTCCATTTTGCAGTACTTCTTGTAAAACATGTCTTCATCACTTCACAGCAGTGGGCCTATCTGAAAATGTGATAAGATGCCGACTTTGCAACCAAGTTCCTCTTTGTAGCAACAGCCGACACGTTCGCGGGTTGACAGTTTCGAGACGCTCTCGGACTGAACCTGCAATTATTTGTCAAGCCATCTCTCCCGTCTGCTGGTGTGTAGAGCTGTAGCCTAGTAATTAAGTTCTATGTTGGGATGAACACACAGACACAGCCGTGTTTATTGGCTCTTAAATGTGATACTTTTACAGAAGTTCTCTCTGCCTCGTCATGACTCAAACATATGGCTCAAAAAAATTCCTTGATTCTTCATAATCAGTTCTAGGAAACAAATTAGAACCGCACAATGACTAAAGCACTTGATGTTTATTGTGTTTTATAAGATGCATCACAGCATGAGGTTGATTTTGAATGCAAAGTCAGCACGGGCGTGGGGGGGGGGGTTGGGATCATCAGTGGGAAAGACTGGCATCAAATCATCTTACTGCAGGTCAAATACAAGCACTTTCAAGGTACGTCATGGCAATTATGGTTCGTGAAATATTTTGTTTCATCACAATTCATATTTCTATTACGATAAATAACACCCCATGATATAAATGTTTCTGTGACACAGTATATTTGCATATTTTGTCACATAAAGTAGTATTATATATGTATCATTTTTAAAAAATATAATAATTGAGTTGTTATTTTTCACCATGAGAAACTTCTTTTAAACTATTTTGTAAGGTTTATGATTTATTATTGATAAATACTATATATTTGACAGTACTTTTTTAAAAATTGCTTTTTTAATGTAAATATTTATTGTTATGAGTGTCTTATTTTTAACATGTAACTTAGATTAAATATTTTCCTAATACAATTAAAGAAAAGTAATTTTATACCAAATAATGTCAGCAACTATTTTCTTTCCCTGTTAATAAAAAGTACTATACATAAAATGTCTTCAGTTCCAGTAGCTTCTATATTATAATTAGAATATATAGGAAAATCATTTTTAAATAGATTATTATGATTAATTTATGTCCATCTGCATTATTTAGCATTAGCATTTACTGTGCCGGTCTCTTATAGAAATACTCGCAGCCATTATATCTGAGGGTGAACTTGCTTTTCCATTAACCAGTCACGATCACACACCAGCCTCCAGATTGTGGTGTGTGCAGCTTAGAGGGCTCCATGAGTGGGATTTCACCATCCTGCTAAACTTCAGTGGTTTCCAATGTGTTTGAAAAGCTGAGGTTAGAGTGGTTTCAGACCATAGACTGTACATAATAACACCAGGCGAAATGAAATCCCAGTCATTGTCTGACACATTTAGATGAAGGTTTGATGCTACAGTAGGAGAGCGGGAGACTGAAAGGAGAGGAAAAAATGAGCTGAAGAGCTCTGGATGATGATAAATCCTCTGCTGAATCATTTCATAAACTCCTGTTATGGTTCACAACAAACATTTGTCGTCTTTGTGTGATGTCACGAGCCTGTGATGGAATTCAGTTTGGTTAAGGAACATTTTTACTTTTGACAGAAATTTGACGGAATTTTTTTTTTTCGTAAGAATTATAATGTTGACAATGACTTTCATACAAGGGGAGGGGGTAGCTATGGATATTTACAGTAGTGACCTACATCTGGTGTTCAGAATGTGGGCCACACAGCTAAAGGAAACATCAACCTCTTCTGGAGCCACAGCATTGTACTGTATGTGAAGCTGTGGTCCAGAGACATCTTTGGTTTACATGTGGCCCACATTCTGAGTGTATGTGTACCACACCACTAAAGCCATGTCGTTCACACCACAATTTCCACTGGAACCAGGTACTGTACTGTTCAGTAGATCAGGCATCTCGTGGCCCACGTTTACTGCTTTTGTGGGCAAGTCTGTGTCATGTATTGGGCAACTGCTTGCTCTGATCAATTGCCTTCATTCAAACCCCCCAGCCCCCCCAGTCCCACAGTAAACTGGCATAAAATGATCGTCTGTCAACACCAGAGTTGGGAGTTGTTTGTCCACGGAGAGCAAAGTCTGTCGGTCAGAGCAAACTCAGCAAAGATCGGTCACATCCTTTTAATAATAATTAATTTTTTGTACTTGTGGATATTCCAGGTCATCGTAATAATCTACTTCAGGTGAGTCCAGTTGCCTACTTTTAAAACTGATTTGGAGATAATAAATTATTTGATAATAATACATTCAAATGGTAATTCAAAATAAGTCAGGTAAGTCAGTACTGATCAACCTTTGTACTATCTTTCCCGTGAGCCATGTTATTTTCTGTATGTGCAATCCTTACATCCCCCAAAGAGATTAATGAACATCTATCTATCTATCGGTACATTTATCCATCTATACATCTGTCACAGCTATTCCATCAGATAATTCCTTTTCTAGAGGAATTCTGGGAGAAGTCTTTGGCACCAGGTCATGACCTGTTTCTTTGCCTCGTCTAAGGGCTGAAATTCAGTCTTAGGAATTGGCAAAAAAAATTTGATAAAACATGATGAAAACTCTTGACATTTCAAATATTCTTCATGTTTTAAATTTGAAAAAAAAAAAAAAAAACGAACCTAAAGAGATCAGCCAGCGTTAACCTAGACTTAAGACTTAACGTGATTGACATGACACATATTTTGTCCTCATTGGACTTAACCTTGAATTCCACTACAATACAACAGAACTCAGCGTACGTCCAATAGCGGTTTTCAGTATGAAACAGTTTTGCCTATGTGTGCATCTTGACCAATTGTTCCCCGTTTACAGATTTGACTGACCTGGTCACATTCCTGTGGTATGAATACAAAGCCATTTCACAGTTGCTCAACTAAAAGAAGTCATTTTTTTCCCTTGTTTCTTCCTCTTTCAATCTAAATAATCTTCTTTGACCTTAATGTTCGCCTGACTCAGGCTCTGAAGCAACTTTGTTTCCATCGTCTAAACTGCACGCTGAACTTTTACCTTTAACCCCGCTGTTGACTGTTCAGAAGAGGTAAATGCTTGTGTGCGTTTAGGGATGTTGTGTTAATGATAAATCCCACCATACCCAGACAGCAAGTATATTACAGCGAGTTTTGACCTTAGTTTGGTTTGTTTTCAGTTTAACATCGACCACCACTTATCTTTTGGAACCAAAGATGTTCTAGTTTGATTAAGTCAGGATTCTAAGGGGTGGAGGTAACTTAGGTTAAGTTTTAAAGATCTCAGCTAAACAGCGATTTAATTATCATCAAGCTAGTGTAAGTAAATATTATACTTTAGCTCCTTGATACCTATTTTAGCTATTTCTAACTTAACTGTGCTACATTTGGCATTTTTAATTTTTCTTAAGACTATAAAGTAATCGGTACAGATTCTGAGCTAAATATATTAGCTAACTAAAAAGCTATAGCTATTTTGCCCAACTTTTCTGGATTGGTCGAATGTCTTTTTGGCTAACTTTCCTTTGTCCTACATGCTTTTTTCATTTGTTTTTTTTTTTATATTTACATAATAACTAAAATTAATTATTTGTTGTGTCAGGGTTATGTTTTTTAATGACATAAATTTCTTCAAAATGAGAAAGTACTTTGAAATGTGTTTAAATGCTATCTATTTAGCATTTAGTGCTATTTGTATGTTAGTCCTATGTAAATTAAGTGTTACATTTGAGTCTCTGGGTATTTTTTAAAATGTATTTCTGGCCCCTTCTTAACAATGATTTGACATCTTAAAGGTACCATTTAATGGATGTAGTAAACTTGGATAACAATTCTGTGATCCTACTAGGATTTAGTACATCATAAAGTGGCAGCTCATCGTGGTCTTGGCTGTGTTCCTTATCAGTGTGGCGCTCTGTATCTGCAGCATGAGCAAAGGTCTGGAGGAATTTCACAGTCCGACTCTTGACATCTACGGGAATCAAGAACTGCGGGACTCAAACTGCAGTGTATTCAAGGAAGAAGAAGTAGAAGAGAAAAAAAAGAGTGGACTACGTCATGGAAAGAATGACGTCAGGTATTATTAGGGCACCGAGGGAAGAGCCTGTGCGGTGAGTGTGTGTGCAGCCTAGGTTGAGTTTAGACGGCACAAACCCTCCAGTAACTGAGGTTCCGCCGCGTACTTTTTCCTCTTCGCATGCTGCATCATATGATACGGTTCGTGGAGACGGAGAGACAGAATCGGGAGGGTTGGGTTTGGGGTGGTGTTAAATAATCCTGTTATTATAAAGCAACACGGGAGCGAAGAGCGAGTACGAGGGGGGGTCATGACGTAACCGTTTCCATAGGCGACTGATATGCTGGCTAAGCCAATGGGAATCCACACCAGTGGTCCATACCCATCCTCCTTTTGACGTACATCACATGTCCCCGGCGGTGTTGCAGAAAGAAAGGAGGCGATAGAGTCCAGAGAGTAACAAGTACGTACTTCCGGTTCAGCCCGCCGAAGAACCTAAACCATTTCCTTTTTTCGCCAGACTGCGTATAAAAGACGTATAATCAATGTTCACATGCGATTTTACTGCTTGGCTACAGGGACCAATGACCCACATTGTATATTTATGGGCTGTAAAATTGTCTCTGACAATTTGGTGTTTGTATGCAATATCACGCTTAATAAGACAACTGAAAAAAAGCTACAGAATATTAAATCCACAACATTACACACTTTCAAAGTGTGTAATGTAACAGCAGTAGTGTGTGTGTGTGTAATATATCAGCTGTCGTATGCTATGTTATGATAACCAGCCAAATTACTTTAAATAATAAATCAGTATAATTAAGATTATTTTTTGTTATGGCAATGATGCATTTTTTAATAACATTTCAATCTTGCTGCAGGTTGAAAATATCGCTGGTAAATTGTTGTACATTCATGTTTCATTATTACGAATTGGATTGGAAGTGACAAAATGTAGTCACATCATAACTGGTCATCAGATTCCTGTAACTTCTCGGGTTTAAAAAAAATTAGATGAGTCACTTGAGCCAGATATGAGTAATTTCAGCTTGGTTACCATAAAGTAGCCATGCGCTCAGTTCAGGGGGTGAACTATCTTGTCTGTTCAGACTAGCAGCCTCTGGTTGTGGTTGTGACAGCGCAGTGGGCGGGATCTTACCTCAGATCAGGGGAGAGAGTTCAGTCTTTGGTGAGACTGAGGGTGAGTTAAAGAGAGAAAGGGACCCGGGGTGCTCTTCAGAGAACGGAGTAAGTATTTCTTCCATTTCTGTCTTTCTTGCACAATAAGACGCTTTCTGGACGTGTTCCTTCATCATTTGAGCTTCTCCTGGCTGCTTTAAACGCTGCATTTAACCCTCCCTGCCTGGATAAAAGCTTAATTTTTGTTCATGTGCAGTCTTCATCAAGGGCCAGCCACTGGTGGCTAACATGGTTAGCTCACGTTATATCTTACATAGACTTTCATGACATCGGGGCGTCCGCTTTCCAGCGCCGCTATCTGTTGACACGGGATGCTGCCAGATTACCTTTTGTTTGATTAGAGTGTATTTACACTCCTGTGGTGCCACGGGCTAAGTTTTCAGACTTGACAATGTCTTTGAAACAGCATTTCTGCTCCCCTATTCTTTATGATCAGCACCAGGCTAACCTTTGGGGGCTAGTTGGCTAGCACTGTACGTTAGCCTGTATCGATTTTTACTTAATTAATTTATTTTGTTCTTAATCACTGCACTCTACAAGCTGCTATAATCCGGTGCAGATTTACGTTGCAGCTCCTGGTCCGGAGGCTGACAGTTAAATAAACAACGCCGGGCGCTGGGAAATGTGGACCCCGAGAAAGTTGATGTCTGCATTAAACGGATAAGAGTGGACGTTTTTCGTCATGTCATTCAATGAAGAAGTATCAGTTCATTGACCGAAAGATACACACGATAATATAATGCTCCAGCAACCCCAGTAGAGCGACCCTCTCCCGGTGTCTGAATCCTCGCTGTACGCCTCCAGGCGCTGAGCAGCACGGACCCGGTCACCCTTAAGTTACCAACCGTTTTGATTCTGAGTCGATAATTAAATAAAAACAATTTCGTTTTATTATCAACATTATCCTCATGCGGCACTGTTTTTAAAAATTATAACATAAACCTTTGTTTCCTTAAACACTGATTGCACCTCTGTGTGAGACCTCACTTTAAATTCAGTTTAATTTAGAAATAACACTAAATTCCATAAAACCAACCTTTTTTTTCTTCTTCAAAGAATCATTCCATTCATCACCAAGTACTATTCCCTACCTGGCATAGCATTTGATCTGTCCTGCCTGGGACGGTGAACGCAGCACGTTGTGAGCCTTTGTCTGGCCTTTGGATTTTTGACATGTGATGGACACTATGGTAATGTTCAGCCCTGGCTGTTATCATCACCACCTGCAAGTTTCCATTGACCGTGTAGAGATCAGCCACTTGAGCACCTTTCGGTGTCAAGTTGAAGGGATCACTCCTTATCCAATTAAACAGCACCCAGGCTGGCTCTGCTGCAGCTCCCGCATTAGAGCAGGTTTGCATCAGCCGTACAAATAACTGAATGGAAATACAAAATAAATGAGTTTAAAAGCGTTTTTTTTGCTTGACGGTTGGAAACTGTTGGTCTATAATAAAATGTATATATCATGAAAATGCTCTAGAAATCATGTGACCGAATTGTCATCCCAACTTTAACAGTCCTGGAAAAATAGCTACAAAAAAAGCAGACGATGCAAAGTTTTCGTGATGCCATAATAGAATACCACAATGTTTCTTGGCCTGTTGAACATAAAGCTGAAATCGATTAATCAGTTACAGGTCGACCAGAGAGTTGGTTGACTGTTTTCCGATTTGACTGATGGGTTTAAATTCTTATTTTTAAAAATACATATTGAGCAAGGGAACAAAAATTCTTCTTGAATAATATGAAATGTAGATGTACTACTTGGAATTTTCTACATTTATTGGGTCAAATGTCAAGTTGACTATGCAAACTAATGATCACCTGATTAACTAATTAAAGATGTAATAGTAACTTGCAACTTTTAATTACAACAACAGGCGCTCTCTTCTATGTCATTATGTTGGATATTTAAAATAAATGAATGACTGAATGAATGAATTGTTCCTTCAATATATCTAAGCAAATACTGTTGCACAAGTGTATTTATTAGCAGGCTGCCAAATAGGGAGGTTATTTGTAGACATTATTATAAAAATCTGAAAGCTAAGCTCTGTGCCGCTCACTCCATGTCTCACATTTCCTTAATTGTATAAGATTGCAAAACATTGTCTGGGCTCAGCAATGAGTGTTTATTTTATTATAGTTGCCTAGCTCAGCTTATAGAGAGCCAGCATTTGTTTAATGATTGACTCAAACCATCAGTAACACAATCTGCTGCTGTGTCTGAGCCCTTTGAACTCAGACTGTTGCTGTCACTCAAGAATGACAAAAATATCCTTTCTTATTCCTTGCTGTACCGAGCTTTTCATAATGACTGTTGACAGGACGCTGTGCCCTGACTGGAGCTGAGTTGTACATGCTTTTCTTTATCTCAGATGCAAGATATCTTGACCTCAGAGCCTGTGCCCCTGGTAGATAGTCTCCTTTCTACCCTAATTTTCTACAACAACAGAATTAATGGGCAACATCTTTGTCTTTTGCTCCCCTGTGCATGACATATTGGGTTCATGAGGTATTCTGGTGATGGTGGGATTTTTGCTAATCTTCAATTAGATCTTGCTTTTAAGATCCCAGAACCAAAGTCCCAGTGTGAAGTAATGCAGTATGCAGAGCACACTTCTTTCTTTCTCTTTTTTTTTCTCTCTCTTTCCTGGCCGTTATCTCTTGTCATGTCTATGTCTTACTCATCACGCATGAGTCTCCCTTACAGCTGCTGGCTCTGTACACTCATTTTATCATGCTATGCTCTCGAGACCTTCCCTAACTGAAGTATGAAAACCACACTCAGTTTCTCACAAGCCTTCAGTTTATTCATTTTAAACCTCTCTTGTGCTTTTGAGCCCTTTGGTAGAAAAGCATTGCCAGTGTAGGTCAGTGTCTAAGGTGACTTTGAGGCTCATGTAAACCGACATGGAACTCTAAAAATAGTCCGGTCTTGTACTGTTCAGTACAATGTATTTACATTGTGTTTGGTCTATTATGGGGTTTTCTTTTAGAGTATTCTTTGTGTGTGATTAAATTATTCCAAGCACAGATTTAAGAAGGTGGAAAAAAGAAATGACAAATTAAAAAATAAACTCCGTTATCGTGCTATTTTTATACTGGATTAACATTGGGAGAAAATAAACTCCGTTATCGTTATACTACTTATGCTATTTTTATACTGGATTAACATTGGTTTTTGGGGATGCCTAAGGGAGTATGACTTGAAAAGCTAGCAAGACTAATTTGATGAAGTCTGATCCTGCAAACTGAAACTATTGTGAAGCACGCAAAATATCATGAATTAGTCATTAAGCTAGACTGCTTTAAGTTCTAGAGCTGCTAAAGGACAACTTTTTAAAGCTCTGTGTTGCTCTAAGGATTACAAAAAATATGATTTAGCATTCTGTTTTTTGATTTTGTCTAGTATTATCACATACCAAAATAGGTAAATGTAATGATTCGGCATGTTATCCAGAGTTGTTCCAGGCCATAGATTTGCCGCTGTTGTGCTGGACACTATCACTTTTTGCTGACATTTCTATGCTGGTGTAATTTGCGGAACACAGCCCAACGGTGACACGGTCACTGTCATCCTGATTTATCACCAACACGTCACACGGTCACTGTCATCCTGATTTATCAGGGTTTTGAAGATGTCCAGAAGTGTCACTTTTTATCCAATGTCCTTATGTCTTTGAATTTTAGGATTACAGGGCCCAGGTCCTGGTTTAGACCCAGCGCTTTAGAATGTTTCAGTCTCTTATGTAATTACAGTCTAATCCAGTGAATGATTTCGTTAGATCGGCTCAGCCTCAGATCCTCTCTGCGGCAATCACGTTAAAGAAGGCTCATTATTTTTGCTGTTGGCAAGCTAGCATAAAAAGTGTCTTGGGTTGGCAACAAATGAAACGCATTGTCATTGAAACCTTGGATCTCAGAGTACTTCTCTGAAAAACTGTGGCACGAAGTGTGAGACACGCCTCCCCACGGGGTTGCCACAGCACACAAAAAAGCGTAAACCTGGGTAAAAGGTGGATATAGGACAACATCTAAACTAGCTAGCTTACATAAGACAGAATAAATGAATTTGTTACAGAACTGTCTACTGGTGCAAGAAAACAGCAGATGTATGTTAATGCTTGTCGAAAGTTTGGAGTTCATGATCTGATGTTGGATAATTTTTTTTTTATATATATAAGGTTAAAATGAAACCAAAAATATTTAGCTTTTTGCCCTTAGTTTGTAGCAAATGTGTATTCATATTTATCAATACTGCAAATGTATTTATCTATTACGAATTGCATTCTCTACCACCAACTGGTCGTTCTTCCTTTAATTGTAACTGTGAGGATAGTGAGGTCAGACTGTAGCAGCCACAGAAATAGAGAGACTCTGTGGAATCACACACACAAATGCTGCAGTAGTCTCATCTTCAAAGAGCCTCAGTGAAACGGGAAGACAGATTTCTCCATGGACTTGGGTAACGGTGAAAATATGGCTAAATTAAATCATCCCGTTCCAGCCTTTCAGTTAAAAAAAAATCTGTTTGCAGTCCCAACTTGACTGACTGTCATTGTGATAAAAATGAATTACATCCAAAGACTGCAAGGTTAATCGCAAAGGCTGGAATGAATCATGATGATAGTAAGATGTTGAATGGTTTCCACTACGTTCTGACTTTGGGAAATAATAAAGTGAGGAGGGCATTCAGAATAGATAATATGCTAACGACAGCATTGTCTTCCAGGACACACAGATGTTTCCAACGTAAATGATTACACCAGATGACCTCTTACCAGTTGCACACCGCACACATCTTCACAAAGATTACAAGTTGTAATAATGTGCTTGACTTTGCCTCCAATTGTCTTCTTTAACCTGGACTTAGTTTTTTTATTGATTTGTAAAAGGGGGATTTTTTTAAAGCTATATTTGGTCTGTTTCTCTAACGTACGTAAATCCAACATATGTTTGATTTAACATTGATGTAGTTTCTTGTCATTAGCATGCCGATGTCCATACTGCAGATATTTTTCTATTCATAGTTAACATTCACTCAGTTTGAACTATTAGCATCTGAATGCCACACCAATACGGTGACCCTGGCTTCATGGAGTAGCAAAGATTTGATGATACGAGCATTAGATGTTGGAGAGAACTCCTTTAGAATGAAATGGAAAAAATCTATTCAACCACTTGTTAAAAGTATTACTTTGAAATCGTAACCATACCCAGAGGAATATACAAAGAAGATAAGAAGCCACAGGGACTTGTCAGATGAATTGTATTCCTAAATGTTTCCCACTTTCTTATTTCAGCTTTGCTGATTCTAGCTTGTTCTCATGTTGCTCATACATGAAGTACACGGCGCTGAAGTGTCACCTCTGACTGTGCGTTCTCACAAATTGGCAGCCTGAAAGCATTCGAGGTTCCAGTCTGTGGGGGTGAAGAAACGCCCTCAGCTATGAGCCATGCGGCAGCACAAGGAGGGCTGGCTGTCTCCGCTTTGTACCCTCCACATTTACATGGCCTGACCCAGTTCAGCAGTGGCTAGCGGTGGGGGCGGGGAGGGCCAGTCTGGGGGAAGCTAAAAATACCACCCCGTGCATTAGGCAGCTCCATTGCAGAGGGATCCCTAGAATTGCTATCCTCGACTTGCGTCGGGTTTTTTGGCACATAGAGGTGCACAAACTGTCAGACGGTTTCCTGAGCAGGAAAACAAAGACCACAGCATCTCTCTGAGACGGCCAGCCTGTTGTGCTTATTTTCACCCAACCTGCTCCTTCTGGAAGGATGACTGATGTGTATCTACATTGTGTAATTGCAGCCACAAATAGTTTGTGTTGATGGCTTTTGGTAAAACCGCAGGTACTGTAAGCATGTCGATATACGACTTCTTGTGCTGCAGGTTAACCTAAAAAAAAAAAGGTTTAACCTCAGGCCCCTGTCATTCAACCATACGATACCAGCTGTTGGCTTGGAGATCCAATCACAATGATTTTCCACTGTTGTGACATGTGACCTGGGCCGCAACCTGAAACTGTTGCAGCACAGCAAATGTTGGCACTTCTCTCAGATTGGCAACGTTGCCGCTTGCAGCGTTAGGGCGTGCGAAGGTGGCGGAGGGCTCACGGAGTAAGACATAAAAACAGAGAAGCAGAGGGTTACATTTATCACCACAGCACATGTGCGCTGACCATGTGGTACATGTCAGTTAT